ATTTCTCTTTTTCTTTTTGTTGAACATGACAATTGAACCCAAACCCATTAGTGTCCATCATATTTCGGCTAGGTCAAATCGACTTTAACTCGTTGTAGTAATTTTAAATTTCTCTTTTTCCTTTTTGTTGAGAATGAAAATTGAACTCAAACCCATGGTATTGACGAGTTTTCTATCAGAATCTAGTTTTACCGCTATTGTAGTTAACAATTCGGTAAAGTGTGCATTTGTTAAAAACTCATATCGACCCAGTCAAAGTGAGTTGACACAGTGTTCACGAGTTTTGGATCGAGAATGAGTCTTGCTTGCTTTAATTTTTTTTACTTCTCTTTTTCTTTTTTTGTTGAGAATGACAATTGAACCCAGACTCGGTGCTGACGAGTTTTGTATTGAGAGTGATTTTTATCCGCGTTTATGATTGACATGTTTGTTCGAGTGTGAATTCCTTAAAAACTTGGTTCGACCAAGTTAAAGCGAGTTAAACTCAACTTCGATATTTTTTGGTTGGGGGTGAGTTTTTTCTGTTTTAGTGTTTTCATTTATCTTTTTCCCAATCGAACTTACACCCAAGGTATCCAATCTAATTCATTTGATCAAAATGACTTGAACCCAATATTTCCAATTTTTTCACCGGAAGTGAGTTTTATCGTTTTTTAATTGGCATCTTGGCTCAAGTTTGGATTTTGTTAAAAACATTGGTTCAACCCGGTCAAAGCGTGTTGAACCTGTTGTTGCCGAGTTTTGGCTTAGGAGCGAGTTTCATCCTCGTTAGTGTTTGTTAATTTTTTCACTTTAATTGAGAATGCCAATTGAACCAAACCATGGTATTCAACCTAATTCAACCAGGTGAACGCGAGTTGAACCTTCTAACACCTGCGATAGCCCCGAAAATCAATAAAAAAGAGAATCAAAATGAACTTAATAAAAACAAAGCAAAAAGAGTACAAATTGGACAATATCGTCATGATAGAAGTTTAAAAATATAAATCATTTGCTCGACGATTCTTCTTCTTTCTGAAAGTTTATCGTTAGCCGACCACATAATATTGTAGATGACAAATCCATGGAAATAAAGATTAAGAATGAAATAAAATCCCTCTATTTTGATATCAACATTATTTAAATTATTACTCTACAAAATGTCATGTTGTCGCTCACACGCGAAGAGATAGCGAGCTGGCTTATACTAGTACAATGATGGGACCACAAATAAACTGTGTTACTGTTTTCATTTTCTTCTCTTCTATGTTGACTCTCCTCCTAATCTCCTCGTCAATCCATCTTCTTCATCCCCCAAAGCACAACTCACCTTCCCATCAGGCGACTTGAGATACCGACAAGAAAAGAAGTTGAAATAGAACAAATTCACCACCGCTAACCCAGCAATTAGAAGGTAGTAATTATCAATCGTAACCTGGTTCAAATCTCTCCCACCCAACCATGGTCGGTGCCCGTACCCCGACGTAACATGATGTATCAAATTCACCAACACCGTATTCAAATAACTCGCCACCGACAAGCTCAAAAAGAAGACTGCCCCTGCAATTGTCCTCATCGATTCTGGCAAATGGGTAGTCAAAAACTCCATCACCGCAATTGCACCAAATGCTTCGGTCAACCCCGACAATGCAAATTGAGGCAAAAGCACGAATATGCTCAACGGGGATACGAACGAGGCATGCTTGAGAGCTAAGCTCCTTCTCTTCTTCTCCACGGTTGCCGCCACCACCATACACAGAATCGCCATCACAATCCCGGTATTGATTCTTTGCCTCATCGTCATCCTTTTGTCTTCCTTCTTTGACTTCCGTTTCGCGATTGGGAGGTAAATCCGTTCATAAATGAAAATCCAAATGGAGAGGCAGATCATTGAAGAGAGCCCCATCCACGCCGGAGGGATCTCGAAATTGCCTACTCTATGATCACATTGGATAGCCTGCATTATCCCCAGAGTGCTCATTTGGTCCATCGATATGAAACAACCGATCCCAGTGAACCAGACGGGCACAACTCCAACGAGTAGTTTCAACTGCTCGACTTGTTGAACGCTACAGAGTCTCCATTGATTTACAGACCTCCCAAACTCATCCAATTCAGTACTTTTATCGATAACCATCGCAGCTTTATCCAAAATCTTGAATCTTTCGGTATGGGGAAGCTTGGGTTCCTGATCTTCTTCCGTCCCGATAGTGCTTGGCGGGTCGTGGAGAGACAGCAGCTCCGGAGCCGTATCGAAACTCACATTCCATTTCCGGCAGCAAGCCACGACAACCTTAGCCATGTCGACAAAGATGCTCCCCTGTGGCTTTTTTATGATGTAGGTGTGTTTCCCGACGAGGAACAGGGAGATCGAAAGGAAGAGGCAGACAGTCGGGATCGCGAAACCGATCACCCAGCTGATGTTAGTCTGAACGTAGACAACGACTGTCAGAGCTACAACGAGTGCCACTGTGAAAGAGAAGTACCACCAGTTGAAGAAGCTCGCCAACAGCGCTCTGCCCTTTTCAGTTCTTGTGTCGAATTGATCGGCGCCGAATGCGATATTGCAGGGTCGAATTCCGCCGGCGCCGATTGCAAGCAGTGCTAGCCCAATGTATAGTGCTGTTAATTGAGTACCGTTGGGGGGCTGGCAATCAGATCCTTCTGGGCAGTTTGGAGGCCTCAGCTTGGGGGCCCATGCTGTTAGTGTCATTGTAGCCATCCCCTGTTTTTATCTCCATTAAAAACAGAGTATGAATAGAGGAGAGAGAAAGAGATGAATGTGAAATTACCAGGAAGGAGGCGATGGAGCCGTAAAGAAGGGTTTTGAATCGGCCGAGGTATGCATCGGAGAGGAAAGCACCGAGTAGAGGAGTGAGATTGGATGAGCCAGACCAGACACTGAAGACGTTGACGACGAGAACTCCGTCCATGTTGTATTTGGATTGGAGATAAAGTGTTAAATTGCCAATCAAACCCATTGAAGCCAACTTCTCGAACGACTCATTCCCTGTATAAAGCTCCAAATTTTGAATGATTGATTATTGTTATTAACAGGACAGAAGAAGAGAGAGAAACAATCAATCTCCTTTCTCTTTTGTTTATGTTTTACCTAGGATGTATTTGACGGATCGCCATCCTCCGGCGGTAGACTCTGGCCTTGAAGGGGGAGCCAAAGCAGAGTTGTCCTCTGTCGTTGAAGCATCGGTGGTGGAGATCTCTTCGCTCATTTTCGTGTCTTCTTTCTCCTTCTTTTGATTTTGTTTCTCTTCTCTTTCTTCCTGTTGAGGATTCAAACTTTGGAGGGTTCTTCTCGAGTTGTTGGGGCAATCTTGCTCACAGTCTTCTGCTGAATCCGAATTTAATGGGGGAGCTCGGAATAGAAGTAGATTCAATCAAACGGAACTGCCTTGCTATATTTTGCTGGAACTTCCGCATGACATGTCATTCGCCTTTTCAAACTGATTCCCAATAATGAACAAAACTTGTAATACATTTTAAGGGTTTCTACGAGTATTTTTAGCAAGGGTATAATACTCTTTAAAGATAATTATAATTAGTTCTTTTATTAATTAGTTGAACTCAGCGTAACTTGTACTTTTCAGCTGATCATAAATAAAAATGATCGATCTAATCTGTTGTTTTAGTTTTGTGATGCTCAACGACGCGATTGACCTTTTACAGAAAATGTTCGATCTTATTGGCAAGCGAACAATATAAAAGGTCGACCCCATTATCTTAAAGGCAGGCCATTTTGCTATCAAAAGGTCAACCGCATAAATGAAAAGGTCGACCTTTGTTTCATCAACTGATCAACATCAAAGTCGGAATTATTGAGGAAAATAGAAGAAACGGTCGACCTGACATGGACATGGTCGACCGCGAGCAAACCGTATCCGTATTGGATAAGAATTATGATGGAACCATTGCCCTCTTCCTTCCCCATCTAGCCACCAATAACAACTTCTCTCCCATTTCCCCCTCATTCCACGTGGAAAAATAAGCAAGGTGTCAGTTAATACTTAATATGCTCTCCCATTTCTCATGTCATGGTGTGATGGCAACTCATTAAATCAACACCTCATACACATAGGCTTGCTTAGGTGGATGAATATTGGAGAGTTTTACCACCCACCATCTATTTTAAAAGCACACATGAATAAAAGGGGATCAAAATAATCCATCCACATCCACGCGGTCCCTCATATAGGTTGATGGGAAGAAGGAAATGCGAAGGAAGAAAATGATTTGACTCTCCTCTCATCCACGTGGTCCCTATTTGTTGATTGGGAGAGATGTTATTTCTTTGTCTCTTTCAAATAGTTTTTTAAGCCATTTAGCTCTTGCATCTTACACGTGGGCCCAATGAGAAGGTCACTTTCATCACTTCTCAACCAAACAAAACCCCTTCTCTCACACGTAGACCATAAGGAAGGGATATGACAAGCTCTTCCTTCTCCCCCCCAATTGTTCCTCACCTCGAAGAACTCCCCCCCCCCCCCCCCCCCCCCCCCCGCGGGGACGTTTTCTCAACCAAGTACCGGTCGCCCCCTGGCCTTGGCCATTCTAAATGAGCCATACCCGGGAAACATCCATATACCCAACCTTCCGGAGTACAATGGCACCACAGACCCAGAAGATCATCTCAGTTCCTTTGAGATTTTGATGCCGTTTATTGGTGCTTCTGATGCCACCATGTGTAAAATATTTCCCGCCACTCTTGGAGGAGATACTCGTCGATGGTACTCTCAGCTTCCTAATGGTATCATCAACAACTTCACCGAATTTTCCACACTATTTCGGTGCAAGTTTTATGCCCAAAAACAACAAGCAGTGAGCATTAATTAGCTCATGAATACCAAGCAACTAGAGGGTGAGGCTCTAAAAGCCTATTGTGCTAGATACAACACATTGGCTATATCATCACTTCCCTCTTTGTTGAAGTAATTGTCAAAACGCTGACACGAGGAACACCAAACAGTATTCTTCGGGCTTCCCTCATCAAGAAACCTCCTCAGAGTATGTTTGAGCTACAAGAGCGGGTCATGAAGTACATCGGTCTAGAAGAAGCTTTACAAGATTCCTCATATGTTGTGCCAAAGCGTAGGAGGGATTCACCTCTGCCGAATCGAGAAAATTTACAACGGCCCCGCCCAACTTTGAATAACATGCCCAAGGCTCAAAAAGATGACCGTAGAAGGGATGGGTCATTCCATTTAGGCCAAACTTTTACCCCACTCAACAATCCACGGAGGACTGTTCTCCAGATCATTCAAGATAAAAAGCTTCCGGTGACATGGCCGCCTCGAGGTCGCAAAAACCCAAGAAATGGAAAGAACCAATTTTGTGACTTTCATTGGAGATACGGGCATGACACCGAGGAATGCAAAAAGTTGGGAAGATCCATCGAGGGACTAATTCAAAATGGGCAACTTAAGCAGTTCATCCAAAGCTCCACAGGCTCAATCCAACAACCTTCGCATCGAACAAAGGAAAAGCTCCACAGGGAAGTGGACCTATGTAAAGGTGTCGTCCTAGTCATACATGGAGGAACTGGACTACGACAGGAATTGTCCACCTCTCATATTGGACCACATCCACTATCTCAGATCAAAATCCTATCATTTTTTATTCCCGAGATCTTGAGGATATCGAATATCCCCATGACGACCCTCTGGTGATTGAGGCTACCATCGCCAACTACACAGTAAAACGAGTTCTCATTGACGGAGGGAGCTCAGCCGACCTACTTTTCTACCCTGCTTTTTGCTCATTGGGTTTGTGTTTGGATCGGTGTCAACCTTCCAGTGTCTTTCTTATAGGCTTCTCCGGCAACCAAGTCCCGGTACTTGGACTTCTACCCCTTCATGTTCGCATCGGCAATGGTGACCAAGCAATCGAGACATTGGTTAACTTTCATGTGGTGGAATGTTCCTCTGCATACAAAGGAATTCTTGGAAGACCCTTTCTACATCAAGCTCATGCCATCCCTTCTACGCTTCATCTCAAATTGAATTCCCTACTCCATCCGGGGTAGGTTGTGTCTGAGGGGATCAAGTAATCGCCAAGCAATGTTGTGCATTTTCCCTTAAAGATAAACATGTCACTACTTTTGACACTCGAGAAGAGGTAGCTTGCTCTGTGCCAGTCGACCTTGATGAGGAACAAGTTGTTCAAGATGCCCTTACCATCCGTGTCTCAACCGCTTGGCCTAAAGAGGCTCTTCCTCAGCTTCTCAACTTAGTCCGAGAATTTAATGAGCTACTCACCCAAGGCCCTGAAAACATGCCTGGACATGATCGTCGGGTAGCTGAGCATGCCCTAGGGATTCTCCTAGGGTGTCTTCCTGTACAACAAAAGAGAAGGAACTTTGCATGGGAACGACGTCAAGTTGTTGCAGAAGAAGTAGTCAAACTCGTTCAGGCAGGATTCATCCGAGAAATTCTCTACCCCACATGGCTGGCCAACGTTTTTATGGTAAAAAAGGCCAATGGGCAGTGGAGGATGTGCGTAGACTTCACTGACCTCAATAAGGCATTCCCAAAGGACCCATGTTTTCTGGATATCACCAGATTCTCATGAAAAAAGAAGATCAATAAAAAACAGCATTCATGATCCCAGTTGGTAATTATTGCTATAGGGTCATGCCTTTTGGCTTAAAGAATGCTGGAGCCACCTATCAACGAATGGTTGATCGTGTCTTCTCACGTCAACTAGGTTGGAACCTAGAAGCCTACGTTGATGATATCTTGGTAAAAATTAATAGTGTCAATGAACATCTGGAAGACCTGCGAGAAACATTGAATACTCTTCGCACATATGCTCTTCGACTCAACCCTAAGAAATGTGTTTTTGGAGCGACTGCTGGAAAATTCTTGGGGTTCATGGTAACCCAGAGAGGGATCGAGGAAAACCCTCGAAAAATAGATGCCATCCTCCAAATGTCCTCCCCAACCAGAGGCAAAGAAGTACAAGTTCTCACAGGTCGCATCGCCGCACTCAATCGTTTTATCTCTCGTGCCGGTGATCGTTGTGCTCCATTCTTTGCCACTTTGAAGGAGGTCGGGAAACACTTTGAATGGACACCTGAGTGCAAAAAAGCTTTTACTAAGCTCAAGGATATTTTGGTGACACCTCCAGTGCTTTCTGCCCTGGTAAATAATGAAACTCTTTTCATGTATTTTGTCGTGTCGCAGAAGGCTGTGAGCTCGGTACTTCTTCGTCGAGATGCTGACAACACCGAACATATGATATATTATACCTGTAAAACTCTAATAGATGCTGAGACCAGGTATTCGCCCATAGAAAAAGCTGCTTTAGCTGTGGTCGTGGCCTCCAAAAAGTTTCGCCCATACTTCCAGAGCCACTCTATCTGTGTTTTCACACAATTGCCACTCCGAAAGCTTCTCCAACGTATGGATGTAGCGGGTCTAATGCTCAACTAGGCTATTCAATTAAGTGAGTATGATATCACCTACCTCCCCCGTACATCCATCAAATCACAGGTTCTGGCTAATTTTGTGGCCGAGGGAATTCATGTTACTACACCATCCGAGTCAGAAACTTGGAGGCTATTTGTGGATGGAGCTTCAAGCAAGTCCGGCTCTGGAGCATGAGTGCTTCTCATCATTCCATTGGGTGTTACCCATGAGCTGGATGTTCGCTTTACAACTCCAAGAACTAATAACGCCGCAGAGTACGAAGCCCTCCTAGGTGGCTTAAGAATGGCACAAGAATTAGGAGTTCAAAGAATCTTGATACACTCAGACTCTGCCCTTGTTGTCAATCAAGTTATGGGGGCATACGAGGCTCGTGAACCTGCCCTAACTGCCTATGTCAATGCTGCTCGAGCCATTATGATTGATATTATACATGTTGAGATAAAGCATGTATCACGAGAAGAAAATCTCCATGAGGATGTACTCTCGAAGCTTGCCACGGCTCGAGACTTCCCTGAAGACAGGAATGTGGTAGTTGAGCGTCACCCTCCTTTGTTGTGCGCTCCTATTATCTCATCATCAATCCCACAAGATTGGCACACACCCCTCATAGAGTATCTCCAACACGACCTTCTACCTACTGACCCCAAGGAATCCATGAAAATTCGGAGGCGTGCTCCTCGCTACCTCCTTATAGAAGGTGTACTCTACAAAAAAAAGTTTTGTGTGCCCGTACCTCCGGTGCCTTGGTGAAGGGGAAGCCGACTTTTCTATCCGTGAAACTCATGATGGATCATGTGGAATGCACGTTGGCCCACGAAGTCTCGAGAAGATCCTCCTCAGGCAGGAATACTATTGGCCCACTATGCGCCGAGACACGCAAGAGTATGTCCAAACTTGTATCAAGTGTCAAGTTGATGCCCAAGTTCCACATGCACCACCTTGGCCCATGCAAGGAAATATCAGTCCATGGCCATTTTCCCAATGGGGAAAGGACTTCTTGGGACCATTCCTTGAAGCCTCGGGACGAGAAAACGGCTCATTGTCGCAATCAACTACTTCACCAAATGGGTCGAAGCTAGAGCCATCACTGGACTCACTGCCCAACAAGTCGAGAAATTCTTGTGGGAAAATATCATTTGTCACTTTAGTCTACCCCACACCATCATTCTCGATCAAGGGGCACAGTTCACAAGTGAGAGTCTTCAAACATACTGTGCACGGTATGGCATCCTCCTCCGTTATGCCTCTATCGCCTATCCTCAAGATAATGGACAAGCAGAGTCGGCCAATAAAAACATCCTATAGGGACTAAAAACTCGACTCAATGAAGCAAAAGGAAAGTGGTCACAAGAGCTTTCTCATGTTCTTTGGGCCCATCGCACGACCTATAAAACAGCCACAGGGGAGTCACCCTATGCCCTGGCCTTTGGCATAGATGCAGTAATTCAGGTGGAAACTGAGCTTTCCTCCTACCGCATTGAAACATTTCACCCCAACGATAATCAACAGGAGCTCGTTCATGACCTCCATCTCATTGAAGAACGTCAAGAAGACGCTCTCCTCAGAATGACAGCCATGAAGGCACGTGTAGCTCGTTACTACAATACCAAAGTAAAGCATCGACCAATATGTGAAGGTGAATGGGTTCTCCGCCGCAACTTTTACCACAAAACAAGCTTAGGAAAGTTCAATCAACCATGGAAGGACCCTACTGAGTACGCGAAGTGGTCGGTCCAAACACTGTCAAACTTTCTAATGCTAGTGGCTGAAACATTCCCCGCACCTGGAACGCCATGCACCTTCGAAGGTACTTTACGCCATAATATGTATCGAGTATGCCATAATACGTACATAGTATATGCCATAATATGTATTACGTGTTTGTTGCGACATGTACAGAAGGTTTGAAATAAAATGGTGATACGTCGCCACCTAGTTTTATTAAAAACCGCTATATGTACAACGCAAAATGCACGGTTACGTATCTATGACGAACTACTAATGTACATAGGCAAGATATGATGCTACATAAACATGGCACACATAGGTAATATATCCGAATACCTTTGCGGAGCAAGATACTACATGTATAGAGAAAAGTTTGCTACCGTTGCAAGCTACACTATCTCACATAGGAGGACCGAAGCCGAGTATTTCATTCACCCAGGCATTCTCGGCAGATATCGCCAGCTCTGACGGGATTGGGCTATCCATTGCAGCAATAAAGGATTGACCCGCAGAAGCCGTATCAAATATTGGGGTTGAAATGAAAGGCTCAATCTCCATGCTATCACGATGCATCACCACCTCCTCGGATGGAACTCCTCTGATTTTGGTATCGCCTCTCTTGGGATACATCAGACTCAGCCCCTGGAAATATGTCACGTGAACCCACAAAAAGCATGGCACCTCCTGAGGTTTCCCCCACCGACTGTTGTACTTGATGTTGCAGTCGTATTATCTCTGCACGAGCTTCATCACGCTCTGCAATAAGAACTTCATGCTCAGCAGCATGATCCTCCTTGAGTCTCGTCATCTCCTGTAGCAATGATGCTCCTGAGGCTTCCAACTCTTGTGGCCTCTCTAAAGTGATCATTTTGCGATTTCAAACTTTGCGGAGGAGTGCCTCAACCTCGCTGGCACGACCCCTTGCTTCTTCCATTTTCCTAGTATGATTATGAAGATCATGCTCTACGCGTACAACATTTTGTTGAGCTGTCATAACCTCTTCCCTTACTCTCGCTACGCGCCTCTCCATCTTGGAGACATATTGATTCGTCACAATTTACATTAACTAATTAACAATAAGTTACCTGGTTTTGCGATAACGCAAAGCAAACACCGGCACCCTCTCCTTCAAGAGGAGGAAATTGATTCCCGGTATCACGTAAGGTTTGGTAGTTCATAACAAGTGGGACATCTGTCCTTCCTCTACCTGGGGTGCCTAGACCACCCCAGCGATGGGAATCTGAGTTATGATGTGCTCTCGCCGTCTGAAAACGACTCTGCTCGCCCCCGCGTGCAGAATGGCTCGAGCTACTAACCTCAAACTTCCTTCTCGAATCATAATTCTTGCCTCGATATGGAGAGGAACGACGCACTCGTTTGTTTTGACCACCAATCGAAGTCGGCACTGCTGGTTCGGGCTCCTCGGAAAACGGATCACCACACCACTTTGAGGACAGGGGGAAGGCGGCGGCAACCTCGCAGTAAATAAGGCATTCTCTTGAATTTCCATC